TTCAGTACATTTTGTTCTTTGGTGACCTGATGGATGAATACCTATGTGCTGAAGAAGTTGCAATTGTCCATTTACGAATTCTTTTGTGTTTCATGATACCTACTTAAATTACTCTGTTGTACAACTTCTCCAATTATTACACAAGACGAAATTACAAAGCATAAACACACTGTGCAAACAATATTATTCATGGGCTTTGCAGTGTAATGATCATCATCTCACATGATACACGAGTCTTCAATGGCAGAAAGCAAAGATATATCCAAGGAACAACACCACATCAAATTAGACTAATAAAAATATAAGCATTAAATTGGCTTATCAGATAGATGACCAAACTTCACCATTTTAACTGAAACTTCAAATTTCCTGCATTAACACCATTAAAATGGTAAAACAATCTTTTAACTAGAAAGGCCTCAAAACAGCCAAATCCGAGTAGGAAAAAGGAAACATAGTTAGCCATATGCACAAAATTAATTGCATTCACATACAGCCATCGGAAAACTTCGGAAAAGCAAAAGAAACCACACAAAATCATTGTCACGAATTCATACGAAACCAATACCCAAAACAAAGATTCGAAAGGGGTGGATGCAAATGCCCCGAGAAAATATAAAGCAATGCAACTGCAAATTGAAAGCGCAATTAATGAAAAAATCTCGATTTTTCTCAATCAAGCAAGGCGCAAAAAAGATCAAAGAGAACAAAAAAAAGATGAACTCACCTCCAAGTGAAAAGGGCTCCCCAGAAAAACAAAATATCAAGAAAATGGCAATGGTGATTTACAAAAGATGAAATTTTGCTTTAGATTCCCAAAGAATGAGGGTGAATAAAATGAAAATGTAGGGAAGTAGGTAAGAAATTTGAGTTGACTATTTGGTAATGCGAAAGTTGAAAGTTGAAAAATTTACAGTGAGAGATTGAAAGAGACGAAGAAAGGACGGTATGCATAAGCATAAAGACGAGGACTCGTGTTTGCTTTCATGATTTGTGATTTGTGAATCGTGCTTTGACGTCCTTGGGCCTTGAGCACAAGCACACGAATTGGGCTTTTCGTTGGAGGGCCTTGATTTGACGAGGCGTTGGCCCATCTTGCATCCTCGAATGCGACAAAAGCATCATTTTAATTGGGTCCGGGAATTTCTTGAGTGTGGACCCCAGTCCATGTTATGCCATGGACTTGAAATAATTGAGAACTATATAATTTAGAGAAAATTATGCATTTCACCAACAAATCTATTTATTTGTAAATTATATTTTTTTGTTTTTTTTATTAGTACGCTGCGAGGATAAATAATATTGAGCTAAGATTTTTAAATTAAAGAGTGAATTACACAAAAGGAGTTTAAATGTTATGAGTAACATTAAGCTTGAATTTTTAAATTAAAGATAGAATTGCATAAAAGAAATTTAGATGTTTTAAAACTATTACATCTTATAAATTATTTTTTTTCAAACTCGTTAATTATTAATATTATTTACAAGTTTTCTTCAATATATCATGGATTAAAAATTATCCATTTAGTTTGATGGCTGTCTACTTCCCTGAGTTCTTTTTCTTGATCACCAATACTTATGACTGAACTGCGCTTCGAAAAAATTAATTCAACACTAAACTGTAATGTTAACTAATTATATTATTTAGTGAATAAAATATCAAATATAAGATCATGGTTATTTCATCTTTTTATTTATTTTTACTTGTTAACTTTAAAAATTTTCAAAAGTTGAACAAAGACAAAAATAAATGGTTTTATTTTTAGTTTGGGTGCCATAATAAAATACTATTGTTGGCATCATAACTATATAATTTATTTTTCAATTAAATATTTAAACAAAGCAGGTTGTAAATTTATTTAAAAAAAAATATGTTGTCTAACAATAGTTTTACTAATGTATGGTCTTAAATTTAAATTCATAAGGCCACGCCACGTTGAATATAATATTCATTTTAAGTTGAATTCAGATGCCTCGCACAAAAACCAAACTACACTACCAAAATAAAAAAATCAAACCACCATCAAAAAAACATTCAAACTGTGAGAAATAACAGGTCNAAATTTTAATGACTGGCAGCAAATTATGCCATAAGGGGAAAATAATGAAAACCCAAAAACCCAAAAAAATTAGGACTCATTTTCAGCAGCCTATATTCGGGCGAATGGAGGTGCGGTCCATTTATCCTCGTCACAGCCAAGTGGCTCGATAATGACGACCTCACCGTTAGACAACCCTATTGCTAACTGGCTTGGCTTTTGCGGATGAGCTGCCACTACCAATGGGCCCACGTATGATCTGTACATTGCCAAGCCAAATCAAATTTATATAGGGTCGGGTTCTGGTGAGAATTGATAATAATTAACATGCACGATTAATACTGCTATTATGCGTGCACAACAGTAACGTCATTAACTTACTTAATTTACATGATGCACCCTAATACTACTATCCAACATGCACAATGCAGAAACTTTATGGTTTGAAATTAGTCTCAGAAGTATTCATTTGAGATTATAAAGAATTCGAAAGTTAGGAGATATTTAACGTTTTACTATCAATTGGAGTTTTGTATGGACTTTCTAAAACTTATTGAGATTTTAAAGACGAATTACATATACGAAATTCTACCACCAAATCTCACCTCTGGACTTAAGATTTTCTAGGATTTCAGTAAAATCAAAGAACTAACATAAGTCTTAAATATTCTCAAATTTCAAAAAGTCTTAAAATGTCGCTCAAAATCTCAAAAAGTACCTGAGATGAGATGGAAGATATGCAGAGGAATCAATCTCGAATCTGGGTGAGAGATCTGAAGCGCAAAGAATTAAGAGGATGCCATCTCTCATGACAGCATATACAAATTCGCTGTCACACGAATACGTCGCATGTGAAATCCGCGTGCAGAAGTTGGCAATCGTCCACTGGAGTTACAAAATTAGAAAAATACAGTCATGCGAAAAGAAAAGAAAAATAAAGTGACTGCACCTTATTCGACACTCGATCTGCCTCAAAATTTTAAGTTGCTTAAGGACAAAAATTTATGTCACACCTCTAATATGGGATTTGGAAACTGATACAAATTTATCTTATATTTTTCTCTATAAGAATATGAGAGTGTAATATTAAGAATAGCACCAATTATGCTATCATTTCATAAGTTATTTGTAATATTGAGTGGTTATTCGAAAATGAGAGAGACCTGCTTGATGCGTCTTAATGTCATGGTCTCGTAAATCGCCAGCTGTGTCTCGTGCACGGCAAGAAAGTGATTGTGATCCTTGTCGAGTTGAATGATGGTCTCGGATAGTTCTGAGGCCAAATATCCAACCGAAATCTGCAATATCGTGCTTCTCTTTTTCTCCCATTTAACCATATCCCATAGCACAATCTACAATAGCAACACAGAGTCAATTAATTGAAGCTTACAGTACGTAAAACAAAACGGATAAATGTTAAAAATTGGACGATTAAGCGCGTTTTACATAAACTATCCAACTGACCTCAGTGTCCACTGCACAGGAAACAAGCACATTGAAAGTGCTCGAAAAAGCGAGGCCACTAATTCGACTAGAATGCCCTTGAAGCGTGCTCAGTAGCTGCAAGAAATCACGCACATTAATTAGTTGCTAAAATTTTCAAATCCATGTTAGAAAAACATTATTCGAATGAAAACATGAAATAACGATTTGTACTTTATCCTGACGGATGTTGAATATGAGGATTCTCGAGTCGTCAAAGCCTATGGCGATTACGTTGTTGTCCGGTGGATAGAACAAAACGCACGTCGGGCCAGGTGGCGTTGGGGATACACTTCTCAATTTCTAAATTAAGAAAAAAAATCACAAAAATATTTACATAGGCATGACTTAAATAGCGTGAAACAACATAACACTATTCCGAAAAAAATAAATAAATAAATAAATAAATAAAAAATCAAGCATCCTTTGGGTAGAATTTCTTTCATACATAATTCTATCATCCTTTAATTGATGGTCAATTAACAGAATTAAACGAGCTGGTCCAAAAGGCAATTACCTTAAAAGTGAAAATGTTGTACAAATTTACCATCCCTCCCGATGATGAGACAACATACGAATCATTCTTCGACCAAGTGAAAGTAGATACATTTGTGCTACTCACAGGAATATCGTTTATCATTAATGATCCATTCCACGGTTGGATGAGTTTAGGGGCACTCTTTGTGGTTGCCTGCAGCAAAAGACTCGTCTCATGAGATAATAACATCCAAGTTCAGAAGTATCAGAAATGAACGTTTTTTAGAGATAAAAATAAACCGACATCATCTTAAGTAGAGTTAGCTTCAAAGATATCTGATTCATTGAAGCTCAAGAAAAATCCAAATCAATAGAAGAACCAGAGTTTAAAATCGCCCCTTCGTGCACTTCAATTTCCTTTGTCATTAGAAAATATTATCTTAAACACAAATCACATTTAATGAATCAATTAAGAATTTTGATAATGCAGATTAAAATAATTGAGATAGGATCAAATCACAACATTATACCAGGCCAGTTGAATTTGCATAACTTTTTGGCCATCTCCACAGTAAATGAGTCCCACTCTCTGCTAATGCTAGGATGGCATTACCCGAATGAGCGTACATTAACCTCCGAATCTGTAACCATCAAACGTTGAAATTTCAATTGTGTTTATTACTTCATATTCTTAGCAAGGAAGAAAAAATCACGGGACATTGTGAGAACAAATAAGACATGGTTTGAAGATTTCATTGGCTAACACTAACCAATTCTCAACTAGAATTGCTATTCTATTCTATAGCATGGTAATTTAAAATAGAAAAGAAAAATGTAGATGATAAATTGCAACGTATGAGTACACTAGTATCAAATTATAATGTGTCTGTGTTTTGAATCTGATAATTACCATATTAACCTCGATTTCAGAAGTGAGCCGCACAGACTGGCAGCGTGAAACTTCGACGACTTGAGAAATATTCGGCACCGCCATTTTCGGAAGTATTTCGGGCCCTTGGGGTCTCGGATAATATTCCCATACATCTGGAGCTTCTCCCTGAAAAAAGATCACCAAAATTTTTATATAAATAAAAAAAATAAATAAATAAAAAAAGATCACAAGAGTCGTAATCTAAAACAGAGAACATCGTGAGTCATAATCTAAAGACTGCTTACTCTATAGGAATTTCCTTCCTCAAGAACTGCTTTAAGTGGTTCAGGTGATGGATTGACAGAAAGCTGTATCAAAACTCAAAAAGTAAAAATAACTACTAAAAAAAAAACCCACATTAGGCTGATAATTTTTCAGCTAAAAAACTGAACAGATTTATATACTGACCTTACTGAACGAGTCCGCCAAAAATCCATCCGAACCACCAGAAACAGATGGGGAATTTTGCAGCAACTCACGACCAATATCATTTGCCAATATTTTGATTTGGTTATGATTACCGCAAACAGCCAAAAAATTGCCTTTCTTATCGAAACGAATATAAGGTCTCGCCTTTACCAAAAAGAAAAAGAAAAATCAGACAAGTAGAACACCATTTAATTGATTATTAATAGTAAAGATAAATGAGAATTCAAAAAAAAAAACCTACAGGTAAATCTCCATCGGCATCAATAACCACTCGAATTTCAGCACTATCCATATCCCATATCTTGATCAAATGCTCATCACCGGCAGCCAAAAATTGATTCACACTCGTATCGAAATGAATCATAGCCGAAGAGCACTTGCTAAGTCCACAGTAATTCCTAATAATGGAACCCTCTCTCTCATTCCACTCGACAATATAGGAATCTCCATTTCCGTTCGTCCCGCATGAAAATAACCTGAGTATATCTAAACAATTCATGCGCGTTTTTGGTTTTTGGTGATGACTTCTTATGTGAGAAATGAAACTACCGAATTGCACAATAATATTGCTCAAGATCACCCACATTAGAATCATTAAGACATTATATAATTTCAAAAGATGCATAATAGATTACTAATACATAAGACAATATTACCTTTTGCCATCTGTACTATAAACCATTCTCATACAACAGAAACCAGGAGCATCGTAAGTAAGCCTCGAGCCCACGTTGTCAAATAACCAAGCTTTTATCTCGCCACTTGTCGAGACGGAGAATAAGAACTGGAAAAAAATAAATAAAATGATTATCCAATGAAATAAAAACTCTTTTAAGATTTGGAACGAAATAAATATATATAAATAAAAATATGTAGTATACTGTTTAGATTCTTACGTGAACATCTTTCTTGTTATGAGGGCATAATGAGTACACTGGAGCATCATGACCCTTGAATGTGTACTGTTTGGCCCCGGTTGAAATATCCCAAACCTTTGGGAAACAAATGCAAATTGTTGGTCAATGTTTGCAAAAACAAATAATCAGCTTTCTGAACATTAAAATAAAAATTTAAAAAAAAAAAAAACNAACATGTTTTTCGTGAGGTTTTGCAAATGCTATATCATAAACACCTCCAACATGCGCATCAATCTGGATTAAAAAAAAAACTCAAAAATCATTATGTGTAAGATTTTTCGAGGTTTTGCAAATGCTGTATCATAAACACCTCCAACATGCGCATCAATCTGGATAAAAAAAAACTCAAAAATCATTATGTGTAAGATTTTTCGAATACGCAAATTGATGGGTAAGAAACTGAAGCTACCTCCAAATGTTGATCAAAGTGATTGTCCTTTGTGCGATACGAATATAAATGTACCAACCGTTTTGAATATGCCACGCCTGTTATTAGTAGGGTCCTTGTTAAATGAAAAACAATTCAAGGACTAAGAAAAATGAAATATTAGGTTTTGGCAAAGATATAAGTTTACCAAATAAGGCACCATCAGAGCTCCATAGTACACGATTAACAGAAATGCCGGGGTTTTTCGCTATGTCCTCCTAATAACAGTCAATTAAATCGTAAACATAAAATCCATTTTCTACTGTAATAAAAGAACAAATGATGAAAATAAATTATGAATAAGAAAATCTATACCAGTAATACCCCTGGGATCACAAATTCTTGCAGAACCAGCTTTTTCGCAGAAGCAACATCCCAAAGCTCTATAACCCCAATACTATTTCCCACTGAAGATAAAAATAAAATGAGCACGCATTTGAGTTTTCAGTCACATAATATCTTTCGAAAAAGTTTACAAAAAATGCGATTCAATCATAGTCAACCTAACAGCAAGGTCTCGTGAAAGGGGTTAAAATCCATTGTAGTTGGGGCAGAGCCCACGTTTATAATTCGTTCAACATTCTTCGGGAAGTCACTTGGAAGTTCAGTTGCTGAATCTTCCTTATCCTACAAAGGACGTAAGCTTAATTAATTAAGAAATGTAATAAGCTTAAAAAGGATTAATTTACCTCATTATCAACATATTCTTTCGACTTTGACTCAGAGGCATCCAGACAAGAATCCGTTCTATCCCCAAAAGCTGCAGCCACCAAACATGAGTAAAAAATTTTGTAAAAAATAAGAAAAGTTGAGGCAAATTGAAAACTAAATATAATTTTTGACAATACCTTGCTTGGAGGAAGGATTCACAATATTCACATCTGTGGTTATAATTTTGGATTGATTTTCCGAGGACTTGTTAGAAGTTGAGGTGCTTGTGAGATGCAACGCAAATGGCACCATTTGCACAGAGATCTAGATAAGTATTTAATCAAAAGGTTTACAAATACTATTTCTAATATTAATGAGAACTAAACATAGGCAAACAATTGAATTTAGTGTTATAATATTACCAATGAGCTATCCTTGTTGGATTGATTCTGCAGATTATCCGACTCAGGACACTTATGATCAATAAAAAGGGTGTCGATATGAGGTTGCGGATGAGGATTTGCACAGTGAATATGCTGCCAGTTCAAACTGCATATATGTTGTAATTAAATTACAATCACCAACTTTATCGAACTAGAACATACAAAAGATCACAAAGTAAAGAAGAATAAGAAGAAGACGAACAAAAGTACCTCTGGTTAATCAGACGCCTCAACCGAGACTTGGTGATTTGAGGAAATTTTGTTTTTTCTTGTAAAAGTGGATTTGCCTCAATAAAATTCCTGAGGTCATTTACGAGCCTTTTTCTTGCGGAGGACGTATCACCGTAGAAGGCAAGCAAATTATGTTCCCTGACAATTTATTAACATCTCATCATTGCAAACAATTCACAACCTTTTTAATAAATTTCTCGTACAAAATTTGATTTGTACTTTATGTGAAATCTCGGATACATAAATCTGTTCATTTATACCTAAAATCATCTAGTGACAGGAGCTGGGTCATTTCTTTGTACAACTCCTTGTTTGTTCGTTCGAAAACTTTAAGATCTTTGAGAAGGATGTCCAAAGCCACAGCAAATTCATGCCTAATCAACACAAAAAGGAGGCATATATTATAAGGTGTGAAATGGCTCCGAGAAAGTAATTAAAAAATAGAGAGATTTTCTCTTCGATTCAATAGCTAAGAACAAACTAACTTGTCTAGTGCCTCGAGATATTTTTGCTTCATAATCTCAAAATATATCTTGGTCGAATATTTGTTATCCTCGGCTTCCGTGAAGCTCGAGAGATAACTCTCCACCTCATCCCAACTACCTTTGAGCACCAACTCCTCAAAATATTGCAAATCAAAGAAATAACCGGTCTCCTGCTCGAGCCTATATCATTATACAAAAGCACGATATAATTTAAGTTTATCGATACAAGCTAAAAAAAATTAATTGGAAAAGGAGATGGGAATGTCAACTCACACGTGGGCTGTTCTTTTGAGGTTCTCTTCATTACAGAATTGCAGTATGAGGTACACAAGGTCTTTACACAGAGACATTGCTTTTGCAGCTCTCTTTCGAACGAAAAAAAATAAAACAATAAGAAAATGATACTAATTAGAAATCAATTTAAGTTGAAAGTTTACTGAATTGCAGTATGAGGTACACGAGGTCTTTACACAGAGACATTGCTTTTGCAGCTCTCTTTCGATCGAAAAAAATAAAAAATAAAAAGTAAAAAATGATACTGATAAGAAATCAATTTAAGTTGAAAGTTAACAAAATTCACATCACCTCTACACATCAAGAATACAAAGAGCATGTGTTACAGTTACAAAAAAATAAAAAAATATAAATCAAAGCAATTAAACTAATTGGTCTTGATTTTAAACAAATACAAAGCATGCTTATTGAGTTACCCGGAAGAATACCAGACAATGTATGAGACAAGCATCATACAAAGAGCAGACACCAAATGAAACAAATTAGAAGCCAATTAATATTAAAATAACATAAATAATGCAACTTTAACTGATAATTGAGTAAATAGATGGAGTTTGCAATCAAAATTCTAATGTTTTTTTTACTTAAAACTAATCTCAAAACAAAACTTACAAAGCAAACTCAAAGTAGAATTACTTACAGAGCATGCAAATGCAGAGAACCTGGTTTGCTGCTCAATCACATTTCAGGTAGAAGAAGGATTTAGGATTTCTAATCAAATGGGCTTCTCATTATCCACCTCTTTAATTTGTTGAAATTAAATATTAAAATAATTCCAAAATGTAACTGTTGAGATCAAAGAAAATTGAAAAAGCTAAAGAAGGGGCAACAAAAGAGAAAAGAAGGGAAAGGGCACAATACATTAAGATGCAGCTTAACTTTTTGGTTGGACAAAAATATAAAATAAAAATGAAAATAAAGTAATGAATTTGCAAGTGAATACAAAAGGTTTAGCAATATTGACCGACTCTTTAACAGTAGCTGCTCTCTCTCTGTATATATCTCAGCTGGAAGCTACTGCAAGTCAGCGGAGAGAGAAAGCCATGTGTGTATGCGATAAGTCATTCTACTTATCAGAGATAAGCTGATTGAATGTGTAGAATCTATATCGGGTCTCCGTTGAATTGTACGCTTGTACATTCCAAGGTTGAGTGGAAGGAATGTTTCTACTTAGAAATTTCCAAATGCCGCCTGATTATGCAACTATTGATTTTATTTTTGACGGTTTGATGAGAATATACATGTATTTGATCTAATGATAAACGTGGTTCCTCTATGTCAATCGAATCAACAGTCATCGTTTGGTTGGACTCTACCCCTAATTCTAGTAGATAGTGGCCACACATCACCGCATTCACACTTGCAAATAATTTAGAATTTAGTGCATGAACAAATCAAATATTAGACAAGTACTTCAAATTCGAATTCGAACAAGAGTCAATCAACAGTCACCATTTGGTTGGACTCTACCCCAAATTCTAGTAGGTAGTGGCTACACATCGCCACATTCACATCTGAAGATAATTTAGTGTTTAGTGCACGAGCAAATCAAACACTTGACAAGTACTTCAAATTCGAACTCGAATCGTGTTTGAGCATGTAACTTATTAGGGCAAATTAAACTTTATCCACTTAGTTATATATTGTTTCGCACTTTACCTACTCAATTTTCACGTGACAGCTTGCCTGTATAACTTCATAAAAAATACACTTAAACAATTTACTGCCACTATTGTCCATTTATAAGAGCAAATTTGACTTTCCAGTGATTTATTTAGGGACAAATTAGTTAATTTAAATATTTTGGATTCTTATATCAACCTCAATTATTTTCAACTTTCCAAACTCGATCGAAGATGTCAATTAGAATAAGATATAGAAAAAAAAAAAAGAAGAAAAAAGAATCACACAACACACCCATTAATGATTAGGAAATATTTATTTTACATTAAGTATACAAAAAATTTCTCCTAATAACAGACTATCAGTAGCATCGTAGGATGTGAAACTCAAGAATTCAAAACATTTCAAACAAATTAGACGTGAAACAACAATGATGGGAAAAATTCCAAATTGAAAACATACAACTTTTTGGGAGTTTCTTTATCGTAAAAATGGCAAGTAATGGATTCATTCAAAAGATTCATTCAGGAGATAATCATGAAAAATCATCTCCCATAGTGCAATTTTAATTTTTGTTCCTTCCAAATTTTCAAGTTCACACCCTTTTTGCTAGAATTTGTAGTTTGATAGCTCGATCAATTATAGATTCTTCATCGTCGATCTCGTCATCAATCATGCACCCGCTCCACCGCCGTTGTCACTACTACCACCACTGGCAGCGGCTCAAAGGTCCAGAGTTAACGGTCTGCACAACAACAACACCACCAACAACACTATTAAAATACGCAAAAAATAATCCAATCTCACAAATTTTTAGGCTAAACAAACAGACATATGGGGCTTTGCCATTTAACATATATATCACGTGCAATATATAGGCCACAATACTAGTGCATGTGTATTATTGGATACAAAATATCCAGTTATGATAACTGACCAGATAATTTTGTTAACTCAAAATCCAACTCAAACTTAGACCAACCCAACTTTCCACAATATTATCAATATAATTAAATAATATCAATCAATGATCCTCACTCATTACATCAACTTTAGTTCACTATCAATCCACTCATATAATTTTAACTACTCATTAGTTCCAATCCCATTTCTCATACTTTTAAATACCAGATTTAATCATTATATTTTAAATATTATTTTTATAAACATTTATAATCTCACTCAAACCAAATTCAATCAACTTTTTTTTTAAAAAATTAACTTACTTTATTCAATAAAATTCAATCAAATCCAAAATAACTTATATGCAACATTTGTCATAACAAACAATGTTGAGACTCACATCGGAGGTGCCTCTCTTTGGCTTAGGGCGCGCTTGTTTATTAATTAATTTACTCACATTTAATTCATACTCAAAATATAAGTCAATTTCAACTTAACCCTGCTATCCATTCATATAATTAGATAATACAAACCAATCATTCTTACACATCAAATCAAATTTAATTCATTATTCATACACTCACATAATTTTAACTACCTATCATTTCTAATTATTTATCTCATATTTTTATATCAAATCAATTTTTACCATTTTATTTTAAATATTATTTTAATACATTATCAAAATTCTACTAACAACTAACCATATTATATTTTTCAAAATTAACTCTGATTAACTAAAAAAAAACTCATTTTGAACAGATAAATTAATATCTTGGACATTCAATTTTGGGCCTAAAAACATCTTCTTTCGTTGGGCGACATCTATTGGGCTAAGATCTAGGACTTCCAGTTTTGGGCTCTACTCAATCACTGTATCCAAATCCAACGGCTCCTCGACCCTCGCCGACTGCTTCTAGAATTTCGTGGATTATCTTAAAATAAATAAAAAATAAAATAAAATAAAAATAATGAACTCCAAAACCCTAGGTGGGAGAGTTGAAAGAGTAGGACTGTAGGAGCAAGGAAAAAAAGAAGAATCCCCAAATTGTGATAAATAATTTCCATTAGGGTTTTCTGGAACATCCCTAACCTAATTAATTCCATCCTAGAGTATAAATAGTATAGTATGTATATGTACAACTAGAGCACGCTCCCCTTCTTATCCGTACAGCGTTCATTTTCTCTGTTTCTGGTGTTTAGGTTTTTGAGAGGCTGAAGATGGAAGCTATGGGCGCTGAGTATGCGGTGGCGGAGAGGTTTTTGAGCTCGGCGTTTGAGGCCCTTTTGCTTGAAACCACGACTGCTGTGGCTAAGTCCCTTGTTTGTTTTCTCCTCACGGTATAATGCTCTTCAACATCTTTGCTGCATTGCATTTGACTAGTAATTCAGGATTACTCGTCTGTTTGCTTGAATTGTGTACACATTATGTGAAGCTGGCTTATTTTGAATAATTTTATTTGTGGTATAGTAAATTGCTAGTTTTCTGCTTGTCTTTATGGTCTGCTAATGAAATTCTTGAATTTTGGGTTTATGGTTTAGATTGGAATTGCGATATGTGGGCTATGGAGCTTTTTGTTTATTCTGTTTTCAGTAATTTGGCCATGGCTTTCTAGTTCAATTCACATGTTGTATCCTATGTTATTACGTCGCAGCTATTCCCTTTCTGGTGTCCAGTTACTATACTTCCTTGGTTGCTTT